TATAGAACAACAGGGTTTTAACGTCAATACTGTTGTGTCATGCCAACTGTTCAAAATTCAGAAATCTGGGATAAAGTTAATACATTAAGAAAGGTGGACAACACTTGTTCAAATGTGCTATGGACTGCTTATTGATTGGTAAGTTTCTAGTCAAATGATGAAAGAAGCATTATTTGATTTACTTCTGGAACAATGAATTTGTGAAAATAACTGGTGCAACTAGGAGATCAGTTAGAAAGTGATGACCAAATGTAGCTAAGTTTTATTGTGAAATGAATAAAGGATAATAAAGAGTCAAAGATTGATGCTAAACTATTAAAAGACGGGTGTGAGCTAAGAAAGGATCCTGCTCAAAATAACGAGAGGAAAAGCTAGTGGATGGGACTGATTCAAGTGAGAAAATTGAATGTTTAAAGCAAAGGATTAAAATGAAGATCTGCAAAGCTTAACAATTGGTCTGAAAAATTATGAATTACGTTTGAAATTTGATACTAAAATGTAACAAAATTGGTTATAGAATTAAATGTGCATCATTTGACAAGATGAACTGGAGTAAAATCTCGATGTTGTGGTTAAAATTTGAAAATGTTAGTGTATGTTGTAACTGTACATCAGTGCAAAAAAAAGGCTGAAGCATTCACAACAATCTTCAGCCAGAACTGCCGAGTAGATGATTGTTCTGAACCTCCTCCAGTGATCCCGAGCAGTACAGATACCAATCTTCAGGCAATTCAGTTCACTTCATGATATCAAGAAATGGTTGGAGACTCTAGATATTGCAAAGGCTGTGGTCCCTGAGAACGTTCCAGCAATAGTACTGAAGATTTGTGCTCCAGAATTTGCCACTCCACTGTCCAAGTAGTTCCAATACAGTTACAATGCTGGCATCTACCTGACAATGTGGAAAATTGTCCTGGTATTTCCTGTACATAAAAAGCAGGACAAATCCAATCCAGCCAGTTACTACCCATCAGTCTAGTCTCAATCATCGGAAAAGTGATGGAATGTGTCATCAACAGTGCTATCAAGCAGCACCTGCTCAATAATGCCCAGTTTGGGTTCTGCCAGGGCCACTGACCTCATTATAGTCATGGTTCAAATGTAGACCAAAGAGCTGAATTCCAGAGATGAAGTGAGAGTGACAGCCCTTGACATCAAGGCTGAATTTGACCAAGTGTGGCATCAAAGAGCCCTTGCAAAACTGAAATTAATGGTATCAGGAGGTAAACCCTGCTGGTTGGAGTCATATCTGGCACATAAGAAGATGGTTGTGGTTGTTGGAAGTCAGTCATCTCAGCTCCAGGACATCTCTGCAAGAGTTCCTCACGTTAGTGTCCTAGGCCCAACCATCATCAGTTGCTTCATCAATGACCTTCCCTCCATCATAAGGTCAGAAATGGAGATGTTCAGCACCATTCGTGACTCCTCGGATACTAAAGCAGTCTGTGTTCAAATGCAACAAGATCTGGACAATATTCAGGCTTGGGCTGACAAGTGGCAAGTAGCATTTGGAGCACATGTGCTAGGCCATGACATCACCAATAACAGATAATATAACCACTGCCCTTTGCTGTTCAGTGGTGTTACCATCATTGAATCCCCCACTATCAACATGCTGGGGGTTACCATTGACCGGAATCTCCACTGGACTTGCCACATAAATACAGTGCCTATAAGAACAGGTCATAGGCGAGGAATACTGTGGGGAATACTTCGTCTCCTGATTCCCCAAAGCCTGTCCGTCATCTATAAGGCACAAGTCAGGCGTGTGATGGAAAACTCTCATTTGCCTAGATGGGTGCAGCTTCAACAGCACTCGAGCAACTTAACACTATCCAGGACAAAGCAGCCTGCTTGATTGGCACTACATCCACAGTATCCATTCCCTCCACCACTAACGTCAGTGTATACTATCTACAAGATGCATTACAGACATTCATCAAAGTTTCTTAAGACCGTACCTTCCAAACCTGTGACCGTTTGCATCGAGAAGGACAAGACTAGCAAATTCCTGGGAACACCTTCAAGTTCTCCTCCAAGCTACTCATTATCCTGACTTGGATATATGTTGCTGTTCCTTCACTATCAAAATCCTGGAATTCTCTCCCTAATAGTGTTGTGGGGCAAACAACAGCAGGTGGCTGCAGTGGTTCAAGAAGGCAGCTCATCACACCACCTTAAGGGCAACTAGGGATGATGCCCACATTCCACAAAATAATTTAAAAAAAGAGAAAGAAATCTCAGTTGAACAGACTGGTTTACAGTAAATCCAAGAATATACTGTTACCACTAAAGTATTAATAAGATCATACATAGGTTTTTGAATAGGTTGTGATAGTTAAGGAAAATGTCTATATTTTTGCAGTATAAATATTTTAGCAAAGGACAACAAAACTGATCTCGGAGAAGCCTGGAAATAATTAGATCGGGTAGTATCTAGAGAGGGAAAAGTAAAGTTAATGTTTCAGGTCTATGATCCTTCACCAGATCCTGTTTTTAAAAAAAAATTCCAGGTTCTAGAGGCCAAAGGAGCTAAAAATATTGGAAGCCAGAAAAGATTGAGAATAAGTCCACAAGTTATAAGGGTAATTAAAAAAGCATGAAGGCAAATCTAGCTTGAGTGGACTGAGAAAAGAATTTATCAGCAAAGATGACTGAGGAACACTAGTTGACTTTTAAGGAAGTAGCTCATGCTCACAGCAAAGAATAAATGAGTAAGAGGATTCTTGGAATGGGATAAGCCAACAATCGGTAACCAGAGATGTTAAAGCTTGCTTCACATTAGAAGGAAAAAGTTTACCGGATAAAGATTAGTGGTAAGCTAGAGAACTGAGAAAGCTTTTTTAAAAAAACGACAAAACACATCCAAAAAAAACAGGGAGAAGATAATCTTTGAGGGTAAACTTTCAAGTAATAGCAAGAGCAAGTATAGGAAGAACTTTATTAAATGTATAAAAAGGAAAAGAGAGGCCAAAGTGAACATAGCCCCTTTTGAGTGATGCTGGGGCAGTAATAATGGAGAGGCAGGAATAGGCAGAGGAGTTGAATAAATGCTTTGCATCACTCTTCACAGTAGAAACCACTAATAGCATTCCATAATATTAATAAGCAAGGGGCAAAAGGAGGAGAGGAAATAAATACACTAGCTGTCATTGAAGGAAAAGGTACAGGGGAAACTAATGGGGCTAAAGAGAAGACCCCTGGATCTGCTGGGCTGTATCATAGGATTCTAAAAGAAGTAACTATGGCGACAGTGGATGGTGGTAATCTTCCAATAATCCTTAATTCTTGAAAAGTCCCAGAGAAATGGAAAACTGCCAATGTGACACCTTTATTTTATGGAGGAAATGGGCCAGAAAATAGATAGCTGTAGGCCAGCTAGCTGAACATTTGTTGTTGTTAGAGTCTGTTACAAAGTTTGTAAAAGCAGAGCATTTAGAAGTACATGATATGATCAAGCAGAGCCAGCATGACTTCATGGGGATATCACGCCTGACAAATTTATTAGTTTTCTTTCTAAAGGTAACAAGCAGAATAGATAAAGGTGATGCACTGTTATAATGCATCTGGATTTCCAGAAGGTATTTGATAAGGTAGCACAAGTTAGAATATTAACAAGTGTCCATGGTGTTGGAGGTAGTATATTAGCATGGACAGAGGATTGGCTAACTAATAGAAGACAGTTGGGATAAGGGGGGCATTTTCAGGATGGCAACCTGCAACTAGTGGAGTGCCACAGGGATTGATGCTGGGGCAGCAATTACTTAACATATATATTAATGACTTGGATAAGGAAAGTGAATGTATTGTAGCCAAGTTTGCAGATGACATAGAAATAAATGGGAAGGCAAGTGGTGAGGGTGACAGGCTGCAGAGAGAGATAGACCGGTTGAACGAGTAGGCAAGAACTTGGCATATGGAATATAATGTGGAAAATGTGAGGTTCTTCACTTTGCAGGAAAAAATCTGGAGGACTTGAATATTATTTAAGTGGAGAAAGTCCGCAGAAAGCTATAGCACAGAGGGATGTTGGGAGTCCTTGTGCATAAATCACAAAATAAACTAACATAAAAGTTCAGCAAGTAATAGGGAAGACAAATGGCATGTTGGCCTTTATTTCAGAAGAATTGGTATATAAAATTAGGGATGTTTCGCTTAAACTATACAAGGCACAATTTAGTCCACACCTGAAACATTGTGGAATGTTCTGGTCCCTTTATCTAATGAAAGATGTACTGCCATTGGAAGCAGTCCAGAGAAGGTCACTAGATTGATCCCAGGTATGGAAGAACTGCCCTGTGAGGAGAGGTTAGGAAGGTTAGGCTTATACTCACTAGAGTTTGGAAAAATGAGAGACGACCTTATTGAACATACAAGACTACGGGCAGCATGATGGGGTCGGTGCGGAAAGGTCATTTCCCCTTCTGGAAGAATCTATGCCCAAAGGGCATAATCTTAGAGTAAGGAGTCGCTCATTTAAGACATATGAGGAATTTCTTCTTTGAGGGTTGAGAATCTGTGGAATTCTTCACTGCAGAGGACTGTAGAGGCTGGATTGTTAAGTATGTTTATGGTATTTTTGGTCAGTAAGGAAATCAAGGGTTATAGGGTAAAGGCAGGAAAGTGGGGTTGAAGCTTATCTGATCAACCATGATCCTATTGAATGTTGAAACAGACTCAGTGGGCTGAATGGCCTACTTCTGTTCTGTCTTCAGGGATAGGTGATTCAGCCTGTTGAATCTTCTCCATCTTTCAATGAGGTCACGGCTGATCTGATAGTTAGTATTGTCATTTTGCACTCAATATCTGTATAGAATATTGGAGGTGATTCTAAAAGTAACAAATGATTGTGGAGTAGTATCAATTCCTTTTTGGTCAACAACATTCTTCTTCGTGTAATTACTGTAAGAAAGCAATGAGGGGATCTAAAATTCATTGATTAGATGTGCAATGGCCCTGTGGAACGCACTTGCAATGTCAATGTACTTGATCTTTTCCAGGTATACAGTACCTATTCAAATGATGACTATGATAGACGTAATGAGGAAGTTGACCCTGTGGCAGCATCAGCAGAATATGAGTTGGAGAAGAGAGTGGAAAAAATGGATGTTTTTCCAGTTGAAATTGAGAAGGGTAAGTATTTAAGTGACTGCGTAGTTAGGTTGTTTGAAGCTTCTGGATGAAGTTACAAGTGTTTATTATTTAAGTGTATTTTGTTCGGATATTTATTGCCGATCTGTATTCTAACATGCAATCAATAATTGCCAGTGGAAAGATACTTAAGTCATTTCCAGTACATTTATTTGCTAGCTACCTGAAGTGAACTTTCATGTTCTTAACTAATTTTCCATAATCTTTGGTGGAGAAAGCAGCATGGGGTACTTTCTCACAAACTTGTGGTGATATTCTGCTGGATGTCATGAAGATTGATGTGATTGTGTAAAATTTTATGTTCTGTTTAATGAGTGAGTATTGGTCGTGTCTTTTTGTTGCCAATTGATGTTCGTGTACCCTTGTGGTTAATTTCCTTCCTGTTTGTCCAATGTAGCGTGTTTCACAGTCTCTGCAGGGAATCTTGTATATGATATTGGTCCTGTCCATTGTGGGTAGTGGGTCTTTGGTTCGGGTGAGCAGTTGGCCAAGGGTTGATGTGGGTTTGTGTGCTACTCTGATGCCCAGTGGTCGTAGGAGTCTTGTGGTCAGTTCACAAGTGTTCCTGATGTAAGGTAGCGTGATGAGTGTGTCAGGGCGTGTAGTATCTTCGTGGTGTTGTTTGTGTAATAGGCATCTTCTGACCCAGGTCAATTGGCCACAATACTCACTTGTCTCTATCCACATGGATAAGGAGAACCACCAATTTGATTAGGACAACACCAGGATCCTGAGACAAGCAAAGCAGAAGCAAGTACAGGAATTCCTAGAAGCTTGGTATTCCACTAAGAAAGCCATCAATAAACACACAGAGCTCGACCCCATGTACGCTCCATTGCGAAGGAAAACCGGAAGTGAGGTAGTCTAGCCCAACGGACTCCAGAGTTCAAATAATAGGTGGGAAAGCACAACAGCGCTTCATCGGAGGCTGCACTGATGATGTTACCCAGCAGGTTAACGAAATGTCTGCGGAACAACGAACCAGCTCGGCGAGCCAACCAACCACAACATCCACAACCTGAGCTACAAATCTACTCCAAAACCTTAGTGGGTACATAGACTTAGGACCCAGATGAACCATTATCCCATTGAACAATAGTTCAGATTTCTGACTGTTGACCACTCTTTTTGAAGCACATTGTAATATTTTACTACTTTAAAGATGTGATCTAAAGACACGGTATTAATTATTGATTTATAACAAATGAATTATATTTATGAAATCATTTGAATTTTAGGTGAAGGTGGTCTTGGAATTAGTATTATTGGAATGGGTGTTGGAGCAGATCAAGGGCTTGAAAAACTGGGGATTTTTGTGAAGACTATCACTGAAGGTGGAGCAGCATATAGAGATAAACGGTAAGATGCTATCCAGTTAATATGTCTCCTTTTTATTTTTTGTGCTAATCCCATTTGGTTTTGAATGAATATACATATTATAGCTTCTATGAAGCATTTTAACATAGAATGAGAAAACGAATGGAAGTTTGATTATAGTGTCAATCATCCCATGATAAAGAAATCTAAATGTATATTGTTTATTTTTGCGTATTGTTTTGCATATTGGTGCATTTCATTAAAAAGCTTTGTGATTTCTTAATTGTAATTGCCACTAAAGTTTGATCCCGAAAATGTATTTAATTACTACACTGTTGATGTCATTTACAACCTTCCACCTTGGTTTTAGACCATTTCAAAACATTTTATGATTTTCTTGTAACTCACCATGGACGAGTTTGGGCCGAAGGGCCGGTTTCCATGCTATATTACTCTGACTCTCTGACTCTGAATGGAGTGTAATACTGTTCAACACAGCAAATTAATCAGTCTGTAACTGCAAGATCAGTTACTGAGGGAGATGGCTGAAGTGATACGAATAAATCTTTCTCTTTGGCAAAGGAGTCAGTTACCAGGGGCATAAATTTAAGGGGCAGCAGGTTTAGACAGGATTTGAGGAGAATTTTTTTCACCCAGAGGGTGGTGGGTATCCTGAACTCACTAAAAGAATGGGAACCATTGCAACATTTAAGAAGCGTTTAGTTGAACACTTGAAACACCATAGCATACAAGGCTATGTACCAGGTGCTTGAAAATGAGATCAGAGTAGATCGTGATAGCTAGCACAGACTCGGTGGGCCGAAAGGCTTCTTTCTGTGCCTTAATGCTCTGTGACTCTGTGTATGTGTTTTCTTTTATTGCAGAATTCAAGTCAATGATCAGATAGTTGAAGTGGATGGAGTTAGTTTGGTTGGTGTCACGCAAATCTTTGCAGCTACTGTATTGAAGAACACTAGAGGCATTGTTAGGTAAGTGATTATCATAATTGAAATTAAATAATGACGCTGATAATCATGCACAAACACCGAATTTATGAGGTACCTTTTAATTTGAGGTAAACTGGGCAGTTTTCAGGACAGTAAATTTGAGAATTAGGTGAAACACAAGTGATTGTCACAAGCAGGATGCTCCTATAAAGCCTAAAAGATATTCTACTTAACACACAAAAACTAGTGTGGTACATGAGTTTGTGCCAGTATGATGCGAGGTATATAAGTGTAAAATCTTGCACTCGTGATAAGGCTTTCCTGAGGCAGGCTGGTACTTTGATGAAGAGTCATCTAGACTTGGAACATTGGCTTGCCGTCTCTCCGTGGATGCTGCCTGACCTGCTGTGATCTCCAGCATTTTTTTTGTTTTTTGGTACATTTCTTCAGTGGTCAATATGCTGGTCGTAAGTTCCAAGTTTTCATGTGTATTGAGACCAAATCTATGCCACATTGCATGACAAGGTATGAATTAATAGCTCGTGCGCAGCCACCAGCAAATCAGAAATTATGAATTATGACCTTCATCTTTGCCTTGAATCGTATCAGATTGAGCGGCTTCCCATCCACTTTTGGTTTTGATGCCTAACTATTGTGGAAGGCAGTCGAAAACAAGGCAGAGGAAAACCTGCTGAAGAGTATTTGCATTGAAATGCAATCCTCTTCAACTCCATTAATGACTGGGAATCACTTAGAATTAACATCATTCAGTCACAAGCAAGCATGTTGCCATAAAACTGTTGAAAAATTATAATGAATTTCTTAGGGCAGCTGAATTTCTCTAAATTACCTTCCAGTTGACTGTGTTTGGTTTTGGTCAGATCAACAAATGTAGCCTAACCATTCATGTTCTGTTCTTGTCATTTCCCTGGAATTATCTAACTGCAAGCTTTTAATTAGTGGTTTTTCAGTGGTTATGAAACCACATTGGCAACAGCCCCTCATCAAAATGTATCATTAAACTGTTCAGAAGGATTCCATTGAAGGTATTGTCATGAGAATAGAGAGGAGTGAAATCCATATATAATTATTGCAAGATTGACAAGTTCATTTCCACTTGTAAAGGTGGACAATTGAGGCATCTATATTCCTTTGGAATGGTTTCAAACTCTACATTATTGAAATAAATTCAGTGAGCTGCTTCATCAGGCATTAACTTCTAGTTTTGTAGACCTCAGCTGGGATAGGAACAGTTCCTGCAACCTTAGACATTATACAGGTGTTTGGTAGCATTTGTTGTTTCTAACAGCTGGAAAGGTTATCAAGAAAGTACTTGATAGCAACTTGTTGATTTAATTTTTCATTTGATGTATGAAGGCTGATTTGGGGATGTGGTTAACGTGCCCTATCTATCTCTCTAGAATTGGACATTTCCCGTAAGCAATGTTGATTTATCAGTCCTGAGGATTGATGGTAGACTGTGGACAGATTTTCAGACTATATATAATCTTCTTTCAGTCTTTGTGGTTTGCATATGACTGGCATTTACCTGCTGCTTTATTCAGCCAAAGTCTTCATCCTGAGCTTGCATTTAACAGTCTTGAGGTTGTTTTGATTGGCATTATACTTGGATTCCAACGACTTGCATTGAGGTAAACCTTGTAGAGGAAATCTTCCTCCTGCAGTCATTTCTGTATTCATTGTTTTTATCATACCAATTTTGATGCTTATGAGAGGCACGGATAAGGGCTTCTATAGCAATAGAGTACACTGAATCCCTGAAGGAAGCCTGATTTTTAAATTTTTTTTTTGTTTGTTTGTACATTGGTGACTCTGATTATTGCCCGCTTGTACCTTGAGAAGCTTCTAGACCTTCATGCGCTGGATATGTCTAAGGAGGACTACATATATTTTCTGTTTAGCTTTGAAATGGAGTGATGGTGATCAGTCAGCTTCGCACATGGTCTTTTTTTATGTACATAACCTGCTTGACCCTTTGTTTCATGCTGACCATGGGCCAGTGCGTCCAAGAGGTCTGGTTGTGGTTAGGGAGGTGAAAAACTGTGGTGTTTGAGCTCATGCTCAGTGTATGTCTGGCAACCATTGCTGTTAAAACTGTCAACTCCAATGACCCTTTCCCATGCCTGGTGATTGGATTGACTCTTGCGTTGATGTCACCCATTAGTTATCTGACTGGCACAGTTGCATTTGAGTACAGGAGATCATTGTAGAATTTATCTTTGACTTTATCAGGGTTGGTCATGGTAGAGGTTTACACACTAGAGATGGCCATTGAATGTTAGTTTAAGCATTCTTGGATGATCATTAACACCATTGGGAAGGCACGTTGACTCATTTACAAGTTGGATCATACAGCAAAATTTATAGCAGATTCACACTGATCATCTTTTCCATGGCCACTCCTAAAGAATGTGTTACCTCCAATCAATTTGCTTTAGCTGACCCTCCTCAGTTGGACACACCTTGCCAAGTTGCCAGCATCTGAATGCTGTACCCCATTTTCTTTTGATCTACAAGAGCAGTTTTTCTCTCAGGTCTGTCAACTGTGGTCAGTGTTACCTTAGCTTTCCTTTTTTAGATTGACTGACTTATGACTGTTTTGGTAGATTATTGCCGATTTTGTGACCTGCAAGTCAGGGGTGAGGCCAACTATGTGTAGAGTGCTTTTTTGTAAGGAAGTAAGCAGTCTGGTCCTGCAAAATATTTCTCGGGGATACTGAGTTCCATTGTTTCTTCATTCCAGTGAAAAAGCTCTTATGATCTGACCTGTCCTTGTGCCAATTCATGACTACAACTTCCAGCAAATTCAAACCAGCTGCGTAGCCACTCACTCATTACCACAGGGTTTGTGATAATGTTTGGCAGATGATAGAAAGCTAATGAACATTAGCATGTGGTATGAACATGCCTGTGAAGCAAGAGCAGAAGTAGGCACTTGCCCCCCTCGAGCCTACTCAGACATTCAATAAGATCAGAGCTAATCTGATTGCTTAGCAGTCTTGCCTACCTCGATAACCTTTCACTACCCAATGCTTATCAAGAGTCTCACTTCCACCACCTTAAAAGTATTTGAAGTAGAGAATTTCTAAAACTTCTTGAGGGGTAAAAAAAGTCCTTTTCTCCATCCTGAATGAGTGTTATTTAGGAGCATTCACTACGTCTCGATTCTCCCACAAGAGGGGCGGCACAGTGGCTCGGTGGTTAGCATTGCTGCCTCACAGCACCAAGGACCCGGGTTCAATTCTACCCTTGGGCGACTGTCAATGTGGGGTTTGCACGTTCTCCCCGTGTCTGCGTGGGTTTCCTCTGGGTGCTCCAGTTTCCTCCCACAGTCCAAAGATGTGCAGGCTAGGTGGATTGGCCATGCTAAATTGTCTGCAGTGTTCAGGGATGTGTAGATTAGGTGGGTTATAGTGGATGGGTCTGGGTGGGATACCCTGAGGGTCGGTGTGGACTTGTTGGGCCGAAGGCCTGTTTCCATGCTGTAGGGATTCTGAGATTCTATTCTATGAGGAAGCATCTTTTCCACATTCAGCCTGTCATGACCTCTGAGGATTTTGTGTGTTTCAATCAAGTCACCTCTGAGACTTCCAAAACTCCTCACCTGTCAAACTATTCTCATAACAACCTGCCCATCTTGGGGACCGCTTTGCGGAACACCTACACTTGGTTCGCACTAAACAACTCCACCTCCCAGTCATGAACCATTTCAACTCTCCCTCCCATCCTCAGACGACATGTCCATCCTGGGCCTCCTGCAGTGCCACAACGATGCCACCTGAAGGTTGCAGGAACAGCACCTCATAGTTCGCTTGGGAACCCTGCAGCCCAATGGTATCAATGTGGACTTCACAAGCTTCAAAATCTCCCCTCCCCCTACCGCATCCCAAAACCAGCCCAGCTTGTCCCTGCCTCCCTAACCTGTCCTCCCCCCCACCCATACCCTCCTCCCACCTCAAGCCCCATCCCCATCTCCTACCCACTTACCTCATCCTGCCTCCTTGACCTGTCCGCCCTCCCTAACTCCCCACCTACACTCCCCTTTACTGGCTCCATCCCCGCCTTTTTGACCTGTCTGTCTCCTCTCCACCTATCTTCTCCTCTATCCATCTTCTATCTGCCTCCCCCTCTCTCCCTATTTATTTCAGAACCCCCCCCCATTTCTGAAGGAGGGTCTAGGCCCGAAACGTCAGCTTTCCTGCTCCTCTGTTGCTGCTTGGTCTGCTGTGTTCATCCAGCTCTGCACCTTGTTATCTCTCATTCCAGTGTTAGTTCAGTATATGGATTTGGATTATGTTGACGACGAGTTGTTGCATGTTAAAAGCTGTTTGCACCACAGCTGCCAGTTGGATGCAGATAAGGTCCAATACTGATGAGTTACTCCAAAGAATGCAGTTATCCTGCTTGTGAAAAATGCTGCTATTCCCTTATACCCTTGTGTCCCATGTGATGTTATACAGAATGGTAGAATATTGGATGATAGGATGGTTGCAGCACAAAGGATAGTATTTGGCTCATTGAGTCAACGCCAGCTCGTTGCAAAACCAATTTAGCAGGTCCCAACCCTGCAGGTCTGCAATGGTTTTCCTCCAAGTGCTTATCTAATGCTGTTTAATAGCCACAATCTAATCTGGATCTCCAAACATTTAGGGCATTGGTTTTCGGATATTTTTTCTTCACATCAACTTCGACCTATTTGTTACTAAGTTCAACTAATTGACAAAATCAGTGATCAGAAGATACAATGTCCCTCTACCTACTCTGTTCAGATATCTCATGAATTTGAGCACTGCCAGCAAATCTCCTCTTATGATGTCCCTAGCCCCAAGAATCATTCTCATAAATCTCTATCCTCTCTAAAACCTTCTAAAGGTTCCCAGAATTGGACACACTGCTCCATTTGCAATCGAACCGGTGTTTATAACAATTCATCGTAGCCTTCTTGCTTTAGTACTCTAGATTGGGTACTTTAGTACTTTAGATTGGGATTGCATATTTTTAGTTTTTATATTTTAACCACTTACTTGATTTGCCCGGCTACTTTCAAAAATTATGCATATATATTCCAAGATTTTTTATTCCTGCACTTTCTTTAAAGTTGTCTACATTAGCTTTTACCTCTTCCTTCTCCTGCCAAAGTATAGCACTTCACAATTTTCTAAATTAAATTTCATCTCACATTTCACCACCCTGTCAGTGTCCACTTCAAGTCTATTCTTATCATTCTCCTTGCTGTTTACTGTACTTTGAAGTTTCATCAGCTGCAAATTTTGAAATTGTGCTCTGTATATGCATTAATACACATTAAAAAAGGCAGTGGTCCCAGCACTGACCCTGGGGCACAATACTTTTTATACTTGCCTTCAATCCAAAAAGTAACTGTTTAATACTGTTCTATTTCCTGTTACTCAACCCTTTTTATTCTATGAGCTTCACCTTTGCTGACAATCCTGTTTTGTGGTGCTTTATCAAATACCTTTGGATATCCATGTGAAGCTAAGAAACCATATCACCGTCATTAACCTTATCTGTTACTCAACAAAAAAAAGTCAGGTTACTTAAATGCGATTTGCCTTTAACAAATCCATGCCAGTTTTCCTAACTCATGTACACTTGTCCAAGTAACTTTTAATTTTTTTCCAGGTTATTGTTTCTAAATGATTCTCCATCGCCGAGGTTGAACTGTATGTCTTGTAGTTATTAGGTTTATTTCTGCATCCTTTTTAACATTTGGATTTATTTAGTTCTCTGGGACACTCTCATATCTAAGAAGGATTACATATACGTTATTCGTATGTTGGAGAAGATAAAAGCAAATCTGTTAATAAATATATAAAAACTCAAATATCGATACAAAGAACTATGAAAATATTTGTATAGATTCCGTATTGGTCGAGAAAAACCTGGACAACAGAGTGAGGTTGCTCGTCTTATCAGTGAAACTTTGGAACAGGAAAGATGCCAGGAGGCACTTTTGGAGCAGCAATGTACCCGATGTAGTACAAGTGATAATGAACAGGTAAAATGATTCATCTTCTGTTTGGTACTGAATGATAAATGTGATACTCAGTTTCATTTCCTTGCTGCCATCCATCTAATGTCATTCAGCCGGAATAATTATTATAAACTTAAAATCATAATTTTGCTGTAATTTTGTTCTGAAGACTTTAGCCAAGATAGAATTCTAGTGTTAGCAGTTAATTGTGCTTACGTTATATTTAGCATGTTCAGATTAACAGAATATGCTTATCAAAAGCAGTAGTGTTTAAAATATCAAATATATATAATTATTGGTGTTAAATCTTTAAGGAAGTTGGGGAGATGAGCAAAAGAGTACTTTTATGGAAAATGGCAGGTCTTAGCATGACCGTTTATTGAGAAGTAGTCATATGAAATTGCTTACCATTTTGTGTTTATTGGTTTTTTTTCTTAAGTCTGAAGAGTTTCCTGAAGATGAAGGAACAATTTCAAATGAAGTTGAAGCTGGAGTGACAGTTGAAGTTGCTCAACAAACTGAAAATGAAAATGTACACTTGCCGTCAGACGTGGATTCACTCCTTGCTCTTAAATTGAAAGAGGTAATAACATTGCATTTAGTCTTTTGTATTTCATATATTCTGTTACTTTGAAACATGAAGGATTAGATCTTCTGTGTCGAAACTCGGTGGTTCATCAAAATGATATAATACAAAATGCACATGTGCTGTGAGCATTTTTACTTTGTTTATTGAGTGGATAGAATACACCAATTTATATTGCATATTTTACAAAAGCATGAAGTTTATACATTGAATTATCTATTGCATCTTCATCATAGTCTTTACCTTAGGTCTTTATTCATTTCTCCCAGTTCCTCCATCTCAGTTGCACCTGTCCTGATTTTTTTAACTTGGAAAAGGGTGCCTCTGACATGTCCACCTTGTTCCTCAACTGAGGATTCCACAGCACTGTTGTTGACAGGGCCTTCAGCCAGGTGTGGCTGTGTCTTGTGCTTCAGTCCTCATCCACTTCTTTCCCTTACACAACAGCGATGGGTCACCTTTGTCCTCACCCATAGCTTTAACTTGAGGGGTGATAGATATAGGACAGATGTCAGAGGTAGGTTCTTTATTCAGAGAGTAGTAAGGGCGTGGAATGCCCTGCCTGCAAAAGTAGTAGACTCGCCAACTTTAAGGGCTTTTAAATGGTCATTGGATAAACATATGGATGATAATGGAATAGTTTAGGTTAGATGGGCTTCAGATTGGTTTCACAGGTTGGCGCAACATCGAGGGCCGAAGGGCCTGTACTGCGCTGTAATGTTCTATGTTCAATGTTCTACCACTCAACCAGCATTTACATGCAGAGGATTATTAGTCATCGTTTCTGCCACCTCCAGTGGGATGCCACTACCAGATGCAAATTCCCCTCCCCTCCCTTTTCAACCTTTTGCAAGGACCGTTCCTTCCGGGACACTCTGGTTCACTCTCTTTCACTCCTTACCCACTGCCCCCACTCCATAGCCCCATGGCACTTTCTCCTGCAACCGCCGAAGTTGGAACACCTATCTGTTTACACCCTTCCTCTTCTGTATCCAAAGGCCCAAACACAACACACCTTCCAGGTGAAGCAGTGTTTTACCTTCACTTCCTTCAATCCAGTCTACTGCATTCGTTGCTGACAATGTGATTTCCTGTACACTGGGGAAACAGAGCATAGACAGGGTGACCGCTTCACAAAACACCTATATTCTGTTTGCAAAAAAGGCGCTATTCGTCCAGTTGGCTGCCACTTCAACACACCACCTTGTCCCCTGGCCAGCATCTCTGTCTCAGGCTTGCTACGGTGCTCCAGCGAAGCTCAGTGTGAGATGGAAGAACAGCACCTTATTTTCTTCTTGGGATCTCAACAGGCTTCTAGACTCAATATCGAGTTTAACAATTTTAAGGCTTGATGTACCATCTCCTATGTCTTTACCCCAACACCCAGACACCATGCCTTGTTATCCAATGGTTTGCTGTTACACACAACCCATTGTTAACCTCAAATAGTCTCCATTAATAGCTATTCATTCTGCTAGGCTGGTCGTTATCCAGTCCTTTGTCTGTCCAACTGTTGTTAATCTTCACCTATTGTTTACTCCTTACCCCCTCCCTCACCCTATCTTCTGCATAAAAACCAACTATAGCTACTATCAGTTCTGAGGCAGGGTTCCTGGACTTGAAACTGATTTCACTCCACAGATGCTGCTGAGCTTTTCCAGTAATTTCTGTTTTTGTTTCTTTACTTTAAGGCCTCCGCTTATCTTAATAACCTAGGTTTAAAGTTTATATTTTTGATTGCAGCTGAGAGTTGAATTTCTATTGTGAATGTGCACCATACCTAGGTTCCCAAGCTGTTTCTGTACCAGTCATCAGTTGCACTGAGGAATTATTTTCCTTAGTTTCCATCAGCCACTGATCAAATATTTCAAAATTATTTGAGGAGAAACTGGAAGAAAACTTTCAAAAAACTTTACTGAGGTAAAATATATATGGAGTGTTAATTTGGAAAACTATCTGAGAATGCATATATCTGAATATGACAAAAAATTGTTGACATTTTTTCTAAATAAGTACATATTATAGCATTTAGTTTGTGTGCTTAATTTTTTGAAAATGAGGGGTAAATGATTAATTATATAGAGATTGATAATGAAGTTATGGAGAGAAAGTGTCTTGTAAAGTTTTCAGTTTTCAAAAATCTTGACTGGACCTGTGTTCCATTCAGTCAGAAAAACTGGTAGTTTACACCTCTTGATAAGACCATAAGAAATAGTAACAGGAGAAGATCAATCAGCCCCTTGAGCCTGCTCCACCATTCAACCCACTACTGATCTGAAATTCCTCACGTCTACTTTATTGCCTTTTCCACTTAACCCTTGATTCCCCTACTAATCAAAGAACTGTAACTACACACAGCTTTCTGTGGCAAAGAGTTCCAAAGAACTCAACCCTCTGAGAAAACAAATTCCTTCTCATTTCAGCCCTTTTACTATGAGACTATGCCCTCTGGTCTTAAACTCTCCCACAAGGGGAAACATCCTGTCAGGGTTTACCCTGTCAAGCCTCTTAGGAATCCTGTATGTTTCAATGATATCACATCTCATTCTTCTAAATTCCCATAAGCAGAGTCCTAACCTGTTAAGTACTGGCTCATAAGGCAATCCCTCCATACCGGGGATCATCCTAATGAACCTCTTCTAAGTTGCCACTGAATGAAATATTAAACATCAAAAAGGGATCAAAACTGCTCACAGTACTCCAGATGTGATCTCACCAGCACATTGTACAATTGCAGTAAGACTTCACTACTCTTAAAGTCCAACCACCTTGAAATAAAGGCTTACATTTCCGTTAGTCCCTTCCACTAATTTTTATTATACACAAGACAGAATATGAAAGGTAGAAAGAAACTTAAATGCTGTTTCTCATTTTCTGAACTCATTGCAGCCTTGGTCCAAACATGGATATGTGCATTTGTAGGTGATACACATTGCTGCCATTGCCTTTCAATAGTGAAAGGTGTGAACATGGAAGGTGGTAGATAGGGTGCCATTCAAACAGTCTGCTTGATGGTGTTGATCTTCTTGAGCAGTGTTGGAGCTGCACCCATTTAGGGATGTGTAGAGTATTCCGTCACATTCCTGACTTGTGTCTTATAGACGGTGGACAGTTATTGGGGAGGCAGGAGTGAGTTAGTTGCTGCAGAATTCCAATTTGTGACCTGCTCTTGCAGCCACAGTATTTGTACAGTTGATCCAGTTCAGTTTCTGTTATTTGTAATCCCCAATATGTTGACAATGTAGATCTGGAAGGTAATGCTAATGAATGTCACTGGTTGATGGTGAGATTCTCTTGTTATGCATGGTCAATTTTTGAGTTAAGTGAGTTGGTTAGATAGGTGGGTTACATGCAGTAGCTCACTAAGCCTCCCTCAAAAACTACCAAACCTGTCACTTCTGCCAACTTCAGGGACAAAGGGAGCAGATAACATGGAACACCACCACTTGCAAGTTTCCCTCCAAGCCAAACATCATTCTTACTTGGAATTATATTGCAATTCCTTCACTGTCATTGGGTCTTAATCCTGGAACTCCCTTCCTAACAGCACTGGTTGTATCTACACCACAAGGATTGCAGCAATTCAAGTATGCATGTCTTGGAAGAAGGCACTTCTCCAAGGCACTTAGGGATGGACAATAAATGCTGGCCTAACCGGTGATGCATTTGTCCCATGAACAAATTTATTTAAAAAGCCACAAAGAAATGTTAAAGGAGAGAAATGTATAAAAGCTAAAGTGGAGAAACAAAGAACTGCAAAATAAAAACTAGTGAGAGAATGACCATTTTCTCTGGTTTACTATTTGCAATGCCAATGTTAAATATTGTTTATATATAAGCAGAGTATCGAAACCAGCATTTGCTCGTGACAAAATAAATTATATCAAAAATCTTGCACTTCCTGTTGTCAAATTTTTGTTGTTCCTTCTATTAATTGTTCAATTAAAATTGTGATTATAACCTCTCATCAGTAGTGACAATATTCTGTTTTTCTTCTAACTGCTCAGCATTTACTGTAATGAACATCGTGTGTACCAACCAAGTCTGCTTAAGCTGCTTCCTCTCTTCCTATGCAGAATGGTGCACAGACCAATGTAGCTATAATCAAAACAAATTCTATTTGCCTTTCTAATCACTTCCTGTATTTGCATACGAGTTTTGTGATTCATGTACTAGGACACCCAGAGCCCTCTGACTCACCAGGTTCTGCAGTCTGTCTCCAGTTAAAGGATATATTCTGTTTTTATTATAATTAAATGCATTGTGTAGTATAAACTATTTTCTTGATGTAGCTAACAGAAGTTAGAAGTCTTTCAGAAGTTAGAATAGAAACATTTTCTCCTGCGAATTAATCATAATTTCTGCACAATGGTTTGGACTGTTCTAATCAATAAATTATTACAAGAGGTCAAGGGGATTAAACAGAATCAGTTTCAAAAATTGTGCTGTATTACATTGGTTATATTATGCCATGATCTTTTATATTTGACTTGCCAACATATAGTTTTCCCAGTTACAGTTTGTCATCAATATTACTACAAAGTTGGCATCAAAACTAGTACTCAACAACATTGTCTTGTGAAACATATTACAACTTCTTGTGTCTGTACATGTGAAAATCCAAAAACTGCTATTAGTGATTCCTAGCAATCCACAGCTACCTAGTCAAAGACCCTGCAAGTGTGTGTAGAATGTGCTGAACTGACAAATTCCCCTTTATGCTGTAATAACAAAGAAAATGTGTCCGTTTTTTGAGATGCAGTTGGATATTTTACAAGCATCTTTTCTGACCCTGGAAGCTAATCTTATATTTGTGGAATGAGTTTTCCATTATGATTCCATAGTTTAATATAAAAGTTTTAAAGCTTCGTTTTTAATATTTCAGGTTTCAAGTGTCTGTGTCTGTGTCCTAATCTTTATTTTTCTTTCTGCAAGATGTATTCGGTAAAGAAGTGTAGTGGATTTTACTTCCTGATTAGCTGACTGTATAAATGGCATGTCAACCTGTTGAAGCTACCAAACAGGACTCCTTGCATGCCAAACAGCATAAACAGGTAGTGATAGACAGAACGAAGCGATCCTGCAACCAACTGATCAGATCCAAGCTCTCCTGCCACATCAAGTTGTGAATGTTGGTGGGCAATTAAACAACTCACTGGAGGAGGTGGAGGCTCCACAAATCTCCCCATACTTAAGAGCCCAACACATCAGTGCAAAAGAAAAGGCTGAAGCATTCACAGTAATCTTCAGCCAGAGCAACCAAGTGGATAAACCATCTTGGCCTCCTCCAGTGGTCCCCACCATCACAGATACCAGTCTTCAGCCTATTAAGTTCACTCCACGTGGTATCAAGAAACAGTTGGAGGCATTGGATACTGCAAAGGCTATGGGCCTTGACAACATTCTGGCAATAGTATGAAGATTTGTACCTCCGAACTTACCACTCACCTATCCAGGCGGTTCCAATACAGTTGCAACACTAGCATCTACCTGACAATGTGGAAAATTGCCCAGGTTTGTTCTGTACACAAAAAAACAGGATAAATTCAAACCAACCAGTTAGCGCCCCATCAGTCTACTCTCAATCTTCAGTAAAGTGATGTCATCAACAGTGCTATCAGAATAGCCTCTATTGTCACATTTGAATGAGTGCAGTGCAAAGTTTGTAATGTAGGCTGTTGGTGCCATCTTAGGTACAGGGACCTAAGTACAGATACTTTAAGTGTTTGACAAAATTGAAATAGTAATAAACAGAATTAGCATGGGAATACAGAGTTTAAAAATCCAGAACGAGAATAAAAAGTGTTTATAAAGTATTCAAGTTATAGTCTTTTTTCCAACATGAATCTGTGCCTGCCGATTTTTGGAACACAAGGCCGTGCTGCCTTTACACGCTGGCCTCTGTCCAGGACTCACTGTGCTCCCGCTCCAGGACTCGGCCTGCTCTTGCTCTGCTGCCACTCTGGGACACACCTGCTCAACAAAACTTGCTCAGTGACACCCAGTTTGGGTTTGGCTGGGGCCATTCCGCTCCTGACCTCATTACAGCCTTGGTTCAAATATGGACAAAGAGCTAAATTCCAGAGATGAGGTGAGAGTGACAGCCCTCAACATCAAGGCTGAATTTGATCAAATGTGATATCAAGGAGCCCTAGCAAAATTGGAATCAGTGGGTTTCAGGGGAAAACTCTCTGGTGTTTGGAGCCATACCTGGCACATATGAAGTGGTTGTAGTTGCTGGAGGTCAGACAGCTGAGCTCCAAGATATTTGTGCAGGAGTTTCTCGGGGTAGTGTACTAGATCCAGTTATCTTCAGCCGCTTCATCAATGACCTTTCCTCCATCATAAGGTCAGAAGTGGAGATATTGGCTGATAATTGCACAATGTTCAGCACCATTCATGACTCCTTGGATGTTAAACGGGTCCATGTTCAAATGCAACAAGATCTGGACAATATCCAGGCTTGGGCTGATTAGTAACATTCGCATCACACAAATGTGAGGCATTGACCATCTTCAATAAGAGGCAATCTAACCATCACCCCTTGACATTCAGTGGCATTAGCATCACTGAATCTTCCATTGTCAACATTCTTGGGGTTACCATTGACCAGAAACTCAACTAGACTCACCACATAAACACAGTGACGACAAGAGCAGGTCAGAGGAATACTGCGGCAAGTATCTCACCTCCTGACTTCCCAAAGCCTGACTAGCATTTACAAGGCACAAGTCAGGAGTGTGATAGAATACTCCAATTTGCCTGGATGGATGCAGCTCCAACAACACTCAGGAAGCTTGGCACAATCCAGGACAAAGCAGCCTGTTTGTTTAGCACCACATCCATAAGCATCCACTCCCTCCACCTCTGACTCAGTAGCCCCAATGTGTACAATCTACATGATGCAGTGCAGAAATTTGCCAAAGATCCTCGGACAGCACCTTCCAAACCCACGACCACTTCCATCTCAGAGAACACGGGCCACAGGTGCATGAGAACACCACAACCTGCAAGTTCACCTCCAAGCAATTCACCATTCCAATTTGGAAATATATCGCCGCTCCTTCACTGTTGCTGGTCAAAATCTTGGAAATCCATCTGTGACAGCATTGTGGGTCAACCCACAGCACGTGGACAGCAGCAGTTCAAGAAGGCAGCTCACCACCACCTTCTCAAGGGCAGCGAGGGACAGCAATAAATGCTGGCTAGCCAGTGACACCCACATCCCACAAGTGAATAAGGAAAAGAACTCTTTGAAGTGATTGGCTGTTTACCCTGCTTGAGTACAGCACTGCTGTTTGTCATTTGGAAGTCCACTTGTCTTAACACCACATTCACATTTATGTCAGTAAAGGTGAAATCCACATCAGAGATTGCTATAACAAGATGTAGAGCTGGATGAACACAGCAGGCCAAGCAGCATCAGCGGAGCAGGAAGGCTGACGTTTCGGGCCTAGATCCTTCTTCAGTAAAAAAAAGAAGGGTCTAGGACCGAAACGTAAGCCTTCCAGGTCCTCTGATGCTGCTTGGCCTGCTGTGTTCACCCAGCTCTACACCTTGTTATCTCAGATTCTCCAGCATCTGCAGTTCCTACTATCTCAGAGATTGCTAGACAACTTTTCTTGATCAGTGAGTGCTGCTATCATGAGATTTACAATGAGCAATAAATATTTATTTTAAGACTTGCCGAGCAGGAAATTGTTCATTTCTTTAACAAGGATATCTCACTGTCTTAATAAGATTTGTGTTTTTACTTAAATTAGCAGTTTGGCGCAAACTTCACGAATGCACTCTGTTTTAGAAAACATATTTATGGAAGCTTTGTGTATTTCATCTGTTGGATTTAAAAATAAGACGTATCTTTAACTTAAACTTTGGCCAAAGTGTTGTTTAATTCGATGTCATCCAGTTTTACTCTAGGTACTCACTTGAGTCCTAGCACTATGTAATATACTAATGAAGGGAAATGTGCCTTGAACGTATGAAATTTCTAACTCCTTAGATTCTTTTTTTCTGTGCTATTTGTTGGAATTTTTAATGTGCCATACATGACATTATCTCAAACTGAATTCTAATAAGTCCTAGGTGCTTGAGTAAGGAAACCTTGTCCTCTTTCCGTCCTGAAGCATTTCACAATGTTTATAAAATAGTACATCATTGGCCCATACTCGTACATCAGTATAAATTTACCTGTGCATACTTTGCATCATCAGTTTAATTGTATTTTCAATTTATATATTTATCTCCAGCTTCAGACTAAGAATGCCATAACTGCAGCAGAACTCAGTGAATTGACAGAAAGGGTGTGTAGATATGTTTACTAAATTTTAAAAAATACTTTTTGAAAATTTATTGTTTATAGACTGTTCTAGTACTTACAGATGCTCTTCATTTATGACAGCTGAAAATTGCTGAAGCAGAGAAAATTAAATGGGAAACTACAAAGATGCAGCTTCAGCAAAGTGTTGAAGAGAATAAAGAGAAAATGCAAAAGGTGGAGAAATACTGGTTAGAAGCGCAAAATCTTTGCAAAATGGTAAATGAGCACTTGAAAGAGACCCAATCTCAGTATGATGTTTTGGAGAAGAAATATAACAAAGCTAAGAAACTGATAAAGGAATACCAACAGAAGTAAGTTTTTATTAATGCACTTAGAGTAATATAGTAATAATTGATAACTGTTGGAATTAATTCATTGTTTAATGGCTGGCTGTGCCACCCCCACCCATGTCAGTGGTACTTCACCAATGAGATAAAAAGAAAACATTTGTGTTTACATTGCACTTTCCTCAAACCTCGGGACACCTCAAAGCACTCTATATGAAAGAAATTCATTTGACGTATAGTCACGAATGCAGAAAAAGCAGCAGCCCAAACAGTAACATGACAATGACCAGATAATCTGTTTTTCTGGTTTTGATTGAAGAATAAACATTGGCCAGGACACTGAGAATATTTTCTCTGCTCTTCTTTAAAACAATGCCTTAGGATCTTCTATGTCCCTCTTACAGAGCAGAAAGGGCCTCAGTTTAGCATCTCTACCAAACGATGACACCTCTGATACTCTGACCCCCCCTTACTATTCCACTGGAGTATCAGCTGAAATTTTTGTTTTCATTCTTCTGAAGTGGGACTTAAACCACAATCTCTGGATAAAAAACAACAGTTCTAGAAACTGAGTGACAGCCGACACACACCTTCAAAATAGATTATCAAGTACTATACTACAGATTTTAGAGCAGTCCTAACACTCAAGCCCCAAATATAACATTATATGGGGTGATCAAGTGATAACAGTCTGTCCACTGTAAAGGAAAGTGATGATATTTAAAAAGTGATCTGGAACAGATGCTCTGACCTTTTATTAGAAAGGTGTCAGCCACATCTAGTCGAGAGATGGTTTGAGGATGATCAACAGTTGTGTACTAAATGCCTATGGCAGTTGGAAATGTAGAAATCTAAACCTAAGAGAGGTAACTTGTCAATGATGAATAATATAAAATGTAAGTTTAGATACATCTGAATTAGCAATTTTTCTTAAAGAATTAGTACTTTGTGAAATAAAAATACCCAATGATCTCTGTTTTGTGATTGTTAAAATTAGTACTGTGATAAAATGATCTGAGTTTACTTCCCATTTTAGAGAGATTGAATTTATTAAAAAGGAAGAGGATTACAGAAAAGTTCTGGAAGATCAAGAAAAAGAGCATGCAAAACAGCTGAAAGCCCTACATGATCAGGTTAAAACTGTGATTAAAATTCAGTTGCTGTTTGTCTACAGAATCCATTATTACCTTAAAGAAATAATACCTGAATGTAAACACATGTATTCTTCAGATACTAGAACTGAAAAATGAACTGCATTCCACGGGACAGATGCTTCCACTACACAGCAACAGTTCGCTGCACAAAACGGAACTGGAGTTTGAGAGTCAAGAGCAGTTTGAAGATATTTGTAGTAAAGAGGAAGATGACACAAATCAAAGTGAGTCATAATACATAAATGGGATAGAGACCTTTTGTACCATTGCTTTTATGTTCTGAGGAGTTGTACCACAAACTACTGAAATGAAAATATTTTTATTGTGGTAAAATTCCATCAAGGACACACTTATTTTTGACCCAATATGCTGTGTCCCTATATTGCTCTTTATTTTGCCTTGCTGTAGAGGACCCTACCCGATGTTGTGCATGTTGGTTTATTACATACAGAGATTCCTCAATATAAATTAGCTGTATTGTATATTGCGCAAGAGTTAGGGGCCTATGAGCTACTTCAGTTATCTAACGCTGAATTAGCAACATAATTTAGTTAAACATTAGTAAGCATCAACAGCCCTGGAAGACAAAACTCAGCAAATCTGTTTCATTTCCACGGGCAGAGTGAGTGACAGAAGGCAAATAGCTATTTGGGGCAGCCAACAGAGCGTAGACCGAGTAAAGAATACTGTGCAGTCTGCGTGTTTTTTTTTTATATTCAGTATATCACATTCTTGTCACATTCCTTAAAAAAAAAAGGATATGAAGGAAACTGATCCTTTTGATAGAAATGTAGGATGGTTATGGCACAAAAATAGGGTTTTCAACCAGTTGCGTATCTGTGCTGCCTTTTTGCAAGAGTAGTTTGCCTTCTGTCACTCACTCTGCCCGTGGAAATGAAACAGATTTGCTGAGTTTTGTCTTCCAGGGCTGTTGATGCTTACTAATGTTTAACTAAATTGTGTGGCTAATTCAGCGCTAGATAACTGAAGTAGCTCATAGGCCCCTAACTGATGATCCAGAAAAGAGGAAAACTGAGAGCTATGGGTCAGTGACCCTGACAGCAGTCATTGAGAAAATGCAGTAATCTATTACTAAGGAAATGAGCCCTAACAATACACGAAGAAAGTCATAGTGTGATCAGATAAATTCGATATAATTTTATGAAAAAGGAAATTGTATTTGATAGATTTAGAGTTCTTTTATATATTTAACTATAGGGTGGATAAACAGGAACCAGTAGGTGCAATATACCTGAATTTCCAAAAGAATATTAATAAGATGCCAGACAGAAGGTTACTGCACAATATAAGTGCTCATGAATTTGGGGTAATATATAGCATGGATAGCAGATTGGTTAGTGGGCAGGAAGGAAAGGATAGAAATAAATGAAGAATTTTAAGATGGTGGGAAGCAGTGCAGGAACCTTAGCTATTTACAATCTATATTATAGATTTAGATGAAGAGAGATAGTACAATATAGCTAAGTTTGCCAATTGCAGAAGCATGATTTACAGCCTTATGAACTGGTCAAGCAGCTGGAATTTCTGTGGTATATATGTGAAGTAGAGCGCTCTTAATGTATTTAAGGAGGTACTCACACCACCAGTTTGGAACATATAGACACAAAGGGGACGGATGACTGCCAGAACAAGCAGGCAGTGCGTTAAGTTCCCCGAGTCTTGTTTGATAACCGGTTTTTGGTTTGCATGCTGATGAGGCAGATAGTTCCTCAGGAATGCAGCAAGAACCAAGTCTGAGGCGTGAAGAAAGAAAAGTCTTAAGGACCAGATTGATGGAGAATTTGATAGTCAGAGGAGCAAGCAGGCTTTCTACCCTGTAGATGTAACGTGGTTTGGTACGTTTCTTGACTGATGCTAGGGTCAGAGGCGCCACAGAGTGGCTACAGGACATTTTTCTGGAGGAGGGTGAAAAGTTCGCAGTAGTGATCCACATTAGTACTAATGAAATTGATCGGAAGACAGATGAGGTCCTGAAGGAAAATTTTAATACATTAAGAAAAAAGTTTAAAAGTCAGGACCCCAAAACCAGTGATCTCAGGATTACTCGCGGTGCCATCAGCTGGTGATCACAGGAATTTGAGAATAGAATGGTTGAACATGTGTCTAGAAAATTGATGCAGAAGGGAGGGCATCAAATTTGAGTCAAGTGGGACCCATACAAGGGTTGCACCATATCAGGACAGGGACTAACATCCTCGCAGGGAGATTTGCAGATGCTGTTTGGTAGGATTTAAACTTGTTTGGCACGGGGCTGGGAATTGAGACGGAGATCAGATCAGATGGAGAGAAGCATATTGGTAACGGGAATTAGAAAAGTAGTAAGCAAAATTAAAAGTCAGAGAACATGGAGGCAAACACCATACAGGATCAGAATGTGGAAGAATTTTTTAATTTATATGGACATTTATTGCCCGTCCCTAATTGCCCATGAGAATGTGGTAGTGAGCTGCCCTCTTGAACTGTGGTAATCCATGTGCTGTACTAGACCCACAAACCTATTAGGGAGGGATTTCCAGGATCTTCACCTAGTGACTGGAGGAATGTGATATATTTCCAAGTCAGAATGGTGAGTGGTTTTGAGGAGAGCTTGCAGGTGGTGGCGTTCCCATGTATTTGCTGCCATTGTCCTTCTACATGGAAGTGGTTGTGGTTTTGGAAGATGTTGTCTAATGACTTTTAGTAAAATTCTGCAGTGCATCTTATAGATAGTACACACTACTGTTACTGAGTGTCGAAGGGGAATGATTGAATGTGGTACCAATCAAGTGAGCTGCTTTGTTCTGGATGGTGTCTAGCTTCTTGAGTGTTGCTGCAGCTGCAAACATCCAGGAAAGTGGGGAACATTCCATCGCACTTCTGACTTGTGCTTTGTAGATGGTGGACAGGCTTTAAGATGTCAGGAGGTAAGTTACTCATGGTAGTATTCTTCGCCTCTGACCTGCTCTTGTAACTGCTGTATTTAGTCCAGTACAGATTAGATTGCCTCTTATTAGATGTGATCATTGCCTGGTGTTTGGGTGGTGCTCAAGCCTTGATACTGTCCAGATCTTGTTACATTTGACATGGACTGCTTCGGTATCTGAGGAGTTGCAAGTGATGCTGAACATCGTGCAATCATAGGCAAATATTCTCACTTCTGACCTTCTGATGGAAGGAAAATCATGATGAAGCAGCTGAATATAGTTGGGCCAAAGAACACTACTCTGAGGAACTACTGCGGAGGTGTCCTGTAGCTGAGATAACTGACTTCCAACAAGCACAACAATCTCCCTACGTGCCAGGTATGACTGCACCATCAGAGATTTTGACCCTTGATTTCCATTGATTCCAGTTTTGTTTGGGCTCGTTAATGCCACACTGAATCAAATGTGGCCTTAATATCAAGGGTTGTCACTTTCACTTCACCTCTGGATTCAGCTGTTTTGTCCATGTTTGAACCAAGGCAATAATGAGGTTAGAAGCTGAGAAGCCCTGGCAGAACCCAAACTGGATGTCACTGAGCAAGTTATTGCTGCATGAGAGCACTGTCGGTGATACCTTCCATCACTTTGATGACTGAGAATAGACTGATGGGGTGGTAGTCAACCAGGTCTATTTTCCTGCTTTTTGTGTACAGACATATCGGGACAATTTTCCACGTTGTTGAGTAGATGCCAGTGTTGCATATATACTGGAAGAGCTTGGCTAGGGTACAGCAGGTTCTGGAGTGCCAATCTTTAGTAGTATTGTCACAATGTTGTCTAGAGCCCTAGACTTTCCTGTATCTAGAATCTCAAACCAATTCTTGGTATCACATGGGGTGAATCAAATTAGCCGAAGACTGGCATTTACGATGTTGGGGACCACTGGAGATGGCTGAAATGGATCATCTACTCGGTACTTTTGGCCAAGGATTGTTGCAAATGCTTCAGCACTATCTTTTGCACTAATGTGCTGGGTTCTCCAATCATTGGGGATTTTTTAAAGCTGCCTCCTCCAATGATCACATCTGAATGTGGCTGGACTAGAGACCTTATTTCTGATCCATTAGTTGTAGTATCGCTAAGTTCTGGCAATCACTTGCTGCTTATGCTGATTGGCAAGCAAGTAGTTCTGTTTTGTAGCCTCATTAGGTTGACACCTCATTTTTAGGTATGCCTGTTGCTACTCTGGCATGCTGTCCTGCACTGTTCTTTGAACTGGGGTTAATCCTCTGCCTTGATGGTAATGGTTGAGTGATGATGTGCTAGGCCATGAGGTTGCAGATTGTGTTTGAGTATAATTCTGCTGTTGCTGTTGTTGTTGCTATTGCCCACAGCGCCTAGAGGCTGCCCAGTCTCCAGTTGTTAGATCTGCTCAAAGTCTGTCCCATTTAGAATGGTGAAGTGCCACACAACGTGATGTAAGGTATTGTCAATGTGAACATGTCACTTTTATGGATACTATCATGGACAGATGCATCTGTGTCAGGCAGACTAATGAGGAGGAGGTCAAGCCTGGTTTTCCCTTGTTGGTTCCCTCACCACCTGCCACAGACCCCTGACCAGCTGGATCAGCCATAGAGTCGTAGAATCCCTATAGTCTGGAAGCAGGCCATTTGGCCCATTGAGTCCAAACCAACCCTTCGAAGAGCATCCCACCCTCTACCCTATCCTGTAACCCTGCATTTCCCTTGGCTAATCCACCTAACCTGCACATCTTTGGACTGTGGAAGGAAGCCAGCGCACCCGGAGGAAACTTAGGCAGATGCTGGGAGAATGTGTAAACTCCATACTGACAGTTGACAGAGGGTGGAATTGAAGCTGGGTCCCTGGCACTCTGAGGCAGCAGTGCTAACCACTGTGCCACCATGCTGTTGCCAAGCCATTCTTTGGTGGTGGACATTGAAATCCCTGACCCAGAGTACATTCTGTGCCTTTTTCACCCTCAGTGCTGCTTTCATGTGTTGCTCAATGTTTCGTCAGCTGAGGGAAGATGGTAAATGGTAATTTGCAGGAGGTTTCCTTCCCCATGTTTGACATGCCAAGAGACTTAATGGTATCGAGACTCAATGTTGAGGACTCCCACGGCAACTCCCTCCTGACTATGTACTACTGTGCCTTCACCTCTGCTGGATCTGTCCTGCCGGTAGGACAGGACATATCCAGGTCTGGTAATGGTGTCTGGGACTTTGTCCTTAAGATATGAGTTTGTGAGTATGACTATGTTGCTTGACTAGTCTGAGGCAGCTGTTCCAGTTTTCGTGATAGCCCCCAAATGTTAGCAAGGAAGTAGTTTGCAGGATTAATGGGGCTGTTTTTACCATTGTTGTTGTGTCAGGTAGTTTGTCTGGTTTCATTCTTTTCATTTTTGGGACTTTGTAGTAATTCGTAGTAATTGATATAATTGAGCTAAACTATTCCAGAGGGCAGTTGAGAGTTAACCACATTGCTGTGGGTCTGTAGTCACATGTAAGCCAGCCAGGTGAGAATGGCAGATCTTTTTTCCTGAAGAACATTTGTGAACCAAGTGGGTTTTTCTGACCGTCAGTGGTCATCATTAGACCCTTAATTCTAGATGTTTGTTGAATTCAAATTCATCTGCTGTGGTGGGATCCAAATATAGAATGTTACCCTCAGTTTCTAGATTGCTAGTCTAGCAATACTACCACTAGGTCATTGCCTCTCCATAAAAATGTTGAAAAGAAAAAGTTAAACACACTCTATTGGAATGTACACAGTATTTGAAACAAAAGTGGATGATCTGAAGGCACACATTGAGTTGAATGGACTTAATGGCCATAATGGAGATATAGTTACAGTGTAACCAGGACTGGGAACTGCATATTCAGAAATATTCATCATTTAGCGAGGGGACAATGAGATTGGTGGGGTATGAGTAGCACTTGGGAAGGTATGGCATGATAGTTAATCACCAGGAGGTGACGCTACATATTCTAAGCAGTTGCATAAATGGCATTACCAAAGCTTCTGTATCCCAGTAGAGATTTGTCGCTGTTACAAAAGTGATGACCTTACAATGTGAATGGAATGTCAAAGAATAAATCAGGAGACAGTAGGAAGTGACATCAATAAAATGCTATTACTTTTTAAGAGACCAAACAGGCGTTGGAAGTACACTACCTAGACAATCCAAGATTGTCAAACATGATTTCCCTTTCATAAATCTGTGCTGACTTTGCCTGTACTCATCACAAATGACAGAAAATGTTATCTCACCTGCTATTGGATTAAGCAACTGTACTTCGGCATAAACTTTTAACTGGCTGATGCATTGGGGCATTCTGAGAAAAGTCTTTGACGAGATGTTGGAAATCTTGATCATTGCTTCAAATACATGATACCAAATCATGTACAGGCTTGTGTTATTTCTTATGCATTGACATTTGTTGACAGTTGATATTTTTGTAAGGTCACCTATGGCTTACTTGGTAGCACTCTGAATACTGGGTCAGAAGGGTTGTGGGTTCAAGTTACATTGCAAAGTCAAAAATCTAGGCAGATACTTTAGTACTGAGGGAACCATGCACAGTCAGTGTAATCTTGCAGAGGAAGGCCATTGTAGCTCCCAGGTGGGGACATAGGTTGTGTGTCCTGGCCCATATTTATCCCTCAGCATGGATAAAGGCAGGTAATCAGATTACAGTAGCACATTGCAATTTGTGGAACCTTGCTATATGCAAACTGGTTATTGTTTCCTGCATTGCGAGAATTCAAAAATACTTTTAGCTGTAAAACACCTTGGGCATTCTGAGGCCTTGAAATGCACTATTATAACTGTCAGTCTTTCTTTCGCCTAATCTAAGAATCCAGCTTCTCAGACTTGTGACTGAAAAGTGAGACTGGTTTACTTCAGTGCCGGGAAGAGTGAATTCATGCTCGATGGTATAGAAAGTCCTTGCATATGTAATATCTTTTATTTTAGCTTTTATTTCAGCATTTCCACAGTAAAATGTAAAAGATACAATGAGAAGAAACTCATTTCAAAGTTTATCCTTTTTAAAGTAAACACATTCTGTTGACTGATTTTTGAGGTAATTGCTGTAGACTACTTGTGCACAACAAGCAGTGAATACCAATACTGGGATGGAGTTTTTTTTCTAAATTTGTGGCATCAGATGTTTGGTCTGATATTCCAAAGCACCGTACAGCAAATACAAGGCAATCTGCCAGTAAAATGTCTTTCATTACTCACTCGTCAGGTATGATTGTTACATTTTGTGTTGTTTTATATTGTGGGTCTGTGCTTATGTGGCTTGGTTGAGCCCCTCAAACTTAATAAAGCAAAGGGTTTTTTAAGCTGGCAAAGAATGGTTCTTACTGTAGCTTTGGTTTGAATTAACCCCAACTTTAAGAACTAAGTGATGAGATAAAAATGCAGTAACTTGTTCCAGTTCACTTCTAAATATTTTTATATAACTGAACATTTAAAAAACGCATCATTAAACATGTAACTATATTAAAATATATTGTTTCTTTTACTTGCAAAGCTCCTAAAACTGCTTTGGAATGGGAATGTAGCAGCACTTTCAAAATCTGTGGTAAGTTGGTATGTTAATATAAATATTAAACAATTTAAAAGGATTCTCACAATTAAAATAATAAAGTTTGAAAGCAACCAGATCAATTAAATATATTAGTGTATCTAAATTTTAAAGTAAGTTTAAATTGTCTTGGTGGGCATTTGGAGGGTTTAATATATCTAACCACTGATCACCACTACTTCAGTCCCCATAAGTTGGAGTCTTTCAAACTTCCTGATCTATTTGGAGGACTTCCGAGACCACTGTTAAGAGACAAAGCTATTCTGGCTAATAGTTGAATTTCACACCATGAAGCTGTTACATTAATCTTGCTGCTCCTCAGTCTCCAATCCAAAAGATCTTGAAAGGAAGATTTCTCTTATCAGTTTACTACTGGCAAAAATCATATGTTCACTATGATTTTGCCCATGGTATAAATGGGGGTAATGTTAAGTTCATATAAGACCACCAGAATAATGTTGTTTTGTCAAGAACATTGGTAGCCTTAGATGCATGCTTTGTCCCAACCCCTTCAGCCAAATGTAATTGTGATATTAGCCAATGTGCTTAATGGTCACTTTTTGTATTGTACTTTGGGGTCTATGCCTTGTTGCAGTGGCATTTTAGGATCACACAGGAAGTGGCCTCCTGCAGCAGCCTGTAGGGCCATCAAAACCAGAAGCTCTGTATCTGAAAGAGGGGCTAAAGGTATCAAAGGTCCCTCTGCAGCTCCAGCAATCCAAATGGCATTGCTCCCCTCCAGTCAGTAGCGGTAAACTGCCTACCCCCACCCACCCTAACACCCCAAAATAATTATGCACTTCTGCACATTCAAGGCCCCTTTGCAATTCGTTTTCTGCCTTGGCAACTATTGCACAAGAGTAGCAATCTTTGGGAAGGCCAGCCTAATCAAGATCCTGAGTTTGGTTGCTGGCATGTGCCAGCTTGGGACCCCCCAAACCCCCTCATTTGGTCCCTATGTTGTGGTTCTGAAGCCTACAGAAAAATCCTCTAAGGGGAGCCAAGACATTTGTAACTTTACATGCAGAATGAGAGGATAGGGAGATGAAACAAAAACAGGAGACGTCAGAATGAAAAGGGTGGATGGAACTTAAGTGAGTAGAGTAGAGTTAAAGCTTAAGGGAAAGAAGGGGATGGTGAGACTCAATATTTGCTTTACTGGAGAAAGGAGCCATCATTGGTACTTTAAACTGTGGGAATGTGTCAGGAGTAGATGATGGTGTAAATATAGAGTCATAAAGTCGTAGAAATATACAGCACGGAAACAAACCCTTCGGTCCAACTTGTCCATGCTGACCAGGTATCCTATATAAATCTAGTCCCATTTGCCAGCATTTGGCCCATATACTTCTAAATCCTTCCTATTCATATAACCACCCAGATGCCTTTTAAATGTAATCGTAACAGCCTCCACCACATCCTCTGGCAGCTCAGTCCATACATGCACCACCCTCTGCATGAAAAAGTTGCTCCTTCGATCCCTTTTATATCTTTTTTCCCCCCCTTACCTTAATCCTGTGCACTCTAGTTTTGGATTCCCCCACCCCAGGGAAAAGGCCTTGTCTTATTTACCCTATCCCAGGCACCTCATGATTTTATAAACCTCTATAAGGTCATCTCTCAGCCTCCGAACGTCTAGGGAAAATAGCCCCAGCCTATTCAGCCACTCCCCATACCTCAAACCCTCCAACCCTGGCAAATTCCTTGCAAATCTTTTCAGAACGCTTTCTATTTTCACCAGAATTGCATGTAGTACTCCAAAAGTGGCTGAACAAATGTCCTGTACAGCAGCAACATGACCTCCCAACTCCTATACTCACATCACTGACAGATAAAGGCAAGCATACCAAATGCATTCTTCACTATGCTGTCTACGTGCGACTCCACTTTCAAGGAGCCAGGAACCTACACTCCAAGGTCTCTTTGTTCAGCAGCACTCCCCAGGACAGTGTGTGAGTGTGTGAGTGTGTGAGTGTGTGAGTGTGTGAGTGTGT